ACATCGCGGACTTCGTCGACCCGGACATCCTGAGCAGGCTGGAGGAGCTGGAGAAGGAAGAAGAAATGCGCGAGAAGGCCGGCGTCTATGACAGCGACGAGGAAACCGACTCCGACTACGAGGAGGTCCATGAGCTGGCCACGAAGATTCGCAACAAGAAGAAGATCATGAAGATCGACAGCAAACTGCGGAAGAACAAGACGACGGCGACGATGCCCCGTACTGGCCGCGCGTTCAAGCGTGAGCGGAGCGTGAGTCGACTGCGGGACGACATGGAGCAGCTCGGCGTCGACATGTCGGACGTGGATGGCACCCACTTCGTGGCCACGGCCGAGGCCGACCGGTCTCGCTCGCTGTCGAGGCCGCGCGTCAAGAAGGCGCGCGCCGACTCGGAGGGCCGCGTCCGCTCGTCGTCCAAGACTCCGCGCGACGAGGTGGGTGTCACTGAGGAGACGCGCCTCAAGATGCGCAAGATCGGCCGCAACGCGCAGAAGAAGCTGGCTCGGGAGGCCAAGAAGGGCGAGGCCGATCGCGTCATCCTGGACATGAAGCCCAAGCACCTGTTCGTTGGCAAGCGCGGCGTCGGTAAGACGACTCGGCGCTAATGCTGTGACGCTGTCTGTGTTGTGGAGATGCTGGAGACCGGCGTGAGTGACTGGTGTGAGTGGTATGTGAGGCGCTCCGTATGACCAGGGTGGATGGTGAGTGACGTCTGCGGAGATCTGGGAGCGAGACAACTGGTCTGGCCGGTAAGCTGTGATTGTCCGTGTGTAGAAAACAGGTCAGCAACGTGTAAATGAGAGCGAGTTTGCGGACATGTTCCTGTTTTCAGAATATGGGAGACGAAGTACTGATTCATTGTGTAGAAGTTTGTGAATGGTTCGTTTGGGAGTCTGCAACTGAAGTAACTGATGGTACCTAACGTTGTGGCTTGTTGTCAGTTGTTCTCTACGATGGAGTCCGTTTGCATATAAGGAATGTAATCGCACTATTTTCGATAAGCGTTGTTTGGCTTTAGGCTGGTCAGCCGGGGATTACCAGGGAGCGGAGTTCTGTTGTACTGCCTTCTGTACGGCGACAGTGTTAGTTTCAGAGTGGATATCTTTGAAATAAACGGCGGCATCCGTAGGGGGCGCCATGGTCGATCGATGTGTGCGAGGCGGTGCTGTGGTGTTCGGAGAAAGGATACAGCGAGAGACAGACAGCGAACTCTGAGGTTCCGCCGCTGGAGAACTGGGATACTCGCTCACCTCATCGGTTTTTTCCTTTTTTCGTACCAAATTATACAGTATCGTGCCCCCTCCAACGGTAGAACTGAATCCTATCCAGTCCCATGCTAATGCCTTTGAGAAACTGGCCTTAGAGATGCATCAAGTCGGTATGCATGCTAAAAATCTTACCTATGCTCTCGAGTCCCAATTAATATTAGGGAAATCAGAAGGTTTGGTGAGGCTCCGTAAGGATTTAGGTCACCGTGCGCCGCCGTTTTTGGCATGCCTTATATGTATTTTTATCACAATGCACATATGAGAATTTCAGGTCGCGCAAGTGACCTCACCTCATCAGATCCATGGTATCCAGACTCCAGGATTTCAGGAGTGTAGTCTCGGGTCAACCGGTGACCTCTGAGGTCAGGTTAAATGCCCCAAGGTTGTCGTGTGTTGTTTGGTGAGAAACTTCTCTAAAAAATAAAAAAAAAACAGGCGGCGGAACGGGGAGGGCACCGGGGCACCGTGCCCCCCTTTGATTTTGGCATTTTAACATTAGCCCTATGGGCGTTGCATGGAAAGAATGGGACCAAAAGTCGGCAGTGCCCCCCTTAACCCACGCCCCGTAGGGCTATCGGCGGACCCTACCACCCGTAGGGGGGGCCGAAACGGGGGGGGGCCGTTTCGGCCCCCACCCCCAAGATCTCGGAAATTTACCGGCCGATTTTCAAAATTCAAACGGCGTTCGAAAGCCCCACCGGAGAACTACCTTTTGACCAAATTTCATTGACCTAGGTCAAACCGATGACGTCACAGGTCAGGTCAAAGGTCGGATTTTCACCGTTCACAGGCATTTCAAGAAATGTGTTGTGAAATCGAGTAAATTGGTAATTTATTGAAAACCATCGATGGTACATTGTTCGTCAAACACATACTTTGCTATCTGAGGTCACTGATACCAGGTCAGGTCACAGCGAGGTCAGGTCACCGGGGGTCACAATATGAAAGTGTCGTACGTGATACATGTTTTATGGTCCATTTTACATGACAAATGCGATTCCTATGTGGGTAAGGCAGCCTTTGGGGCCAGCCTAGGTCTCGTTTTGGTGAAGGTCAGGTCAAGGTCAGGTCAAATTAGGTCAAATTAGGTCAAATTTCAAAGTTGATAGTTTTGCATAAAATGGGTATCGATTCGATGCAGCTCGTCACGGGGAGTCTAATGGTGGTCTTTGTTTTGCTCTACCAGGTCTAGAATTGACAAAAATTGAGTTTGAAAGTTTGACGTCATCATTTTTAAAGTTTTTTTTCGCTATAACTAGGCCAAAAAAAACGAGGTATCGATCTGAAATTTGGTATGTAGATAGAAGAAGGTAGGTACTATCACATATCAGTGGCGGCGGAAGCAGGGGGGCAAGGGGGGCAGCTGCACCCTAAAGCTATGGGAAGGGGCGCCTCGAAAATCTGTAGAGGAGACAGGAAGTTAAGAGGTGTGGCAGCCATAAAGCTGAGCAGTGCGAGGCGACACCGCAACTGATAAAGGCACTTGTGACACGAAGAGGGTGGCAATGACGTGGGAAAAGTATCTTTTGATATGCTGAAGAGTGGAGGGCATCCTTATCTGAAACAAAGGCAGATGCTGCCGACCCTGTCGAATATAATCTTGCCAGGCGATAAAGGCTAGGAGGGCGCAGCCACTCGAGAAGCGCGCCATGCGGAAGAGGGGCGCCTGCATGCGAAAGAGGGGCGCCTGTGTGTGTGGGACGAAAAAGAAACATTTATGGAGACGTCTTTGAAGGCGATAGCCTCCGAACGCCAATGCACGAACATATGAGGGCTTATAGCGTTGCAGGCTCCATGCGACAAAAAAGGGGCGCCTGATGGCCGATATGCGAGAGGAAATTAGTTTGTGTAACCATTTATCGTGGGCGGTTTGCCGTTTACAACATATGAATGTTAAGGGAGGTCCGAGATTGGGGCCTGTAAAATTGCACTGTCCGTATGGGCGGTTACACCCCTAGTGCTAGGGCGTATTTTGCGTTTTTTTTTTTTACTGGGGAGATGATTATGACCAGGAATAGCACTCTGCAAACTTCTATGGGCGCCTGTATAGGGGCGAAACTGATTTTCCAGTGCAGGGACGGCCATCGGCATTGTGGGGCGGCATTCATTCCACTGGGGCGTCTGCCAGTGTTGAAGGGCGGTATTCATTTCAATGCGGCGCCCGTTGGTGTTGATGGGCGACATGTATCACCTGGGGCGCCTATCGGTGATTGGGGCGGCATTAATTTCACTGAGGCGCCTATCGGCGTTGACGGGTGATATTTATTCATCCGGGGCGCTTATCGGTGGTATAGGCCGGCATTCGCTTCACTGAGGTGCCTATCGGTGTTTTAAGGCGGCAGTAAATCCACTGGTGTATGGGGCGCCTACCGGCGTCGAAAGGCGACATTCATAATTCATTTCACTGGGAGGCATAGGTATTGGTGTTGATGTGTAACATTCATTCTCCTGGGGCGCCCGGCAATGAGGGGCGGCATTTATTCCGTTCCCCTGGGATGGGCCCCTATCGGTGTGGAGGCGTCGCCGTCGTATTAGTTTGAAATGGGGGCACCTCTGGGTGGTAATAGATGCATTCATTTCGCTGGGACACCTACCAGCGTTGATTGCCTGTTGTCGCCGACAAACTGTCGTTCGGAGTTCTTTTCTGGTTGGATGTGGACTGTATTTTATTCGGTGAGTTTGTGCGACATTCGTAGCCCGCCCGCCTGCTATGTGAGCTCCTGGGTTTTTGATATTCGGCGATTTACAGTCGTAGATAGACGTGAAGATTTCCCGTAGAGGATTTATTGAAGTATACGCGAAGCAAGAAGCGGAAGCAGTTGTGAAGAAAACCGGTAGATGAGACACGCAGACACGGAGCACCATTCACTTTCGCTGTACAATCTGAAGCACTGACACTGCCCCGCCGGGCGCGGCTGCGCGCAGGAGAGTCGGTCTGCGCGCGTGCTTCTGTACTCTGTCCCCGCTCAGCCGGGCGAGGCGTCGAGCGGGGCAGATCAGTCCGTGCGCACAGCGCGACGGTCGAAGTGAGACTCTGCCGGGGTCGTACGTGACCCACATTTTATACGCAATGCTTAAGACGTGTGCAAAACGAGTGCGAACTTGCACTGCAGCGGGGAGGTGGCGGAAGGCGCCAGCTTGGCGGCCTACGTGCCTTAAAACGACGTGTCTTTAATTTATATCTCGGTCTCGGTGGCGGCCGCGGCGCTGCTGCGGCTCGGCAGCGTCGGCGGCACGCGTACCGACCGCCGGCCGCGTCTGCTCGCGGCCCCGCCCTGCACAATGCCTCACAACTCATCCTGAGTCTGGACGGGGTGACGGCGGTGCGGCGGCGGGACGGCTGCAGCGAGCGGCGGCGGCGCCGCGGTGTCACGGCGGCCGGCCGGCTATCACGGCGGCACAGCGGTAGCGCGGGTTGGTCCGAACACTTTCGTCGGTGACATCACTCCACCCCCGTGTTTGACCACAGGGAGAACACAAAATGACACGATCACCGACAAAGACGTTCAAACAAGTACGATTTACACGCCTAAATCGAATAAACTACCAAACACAAACGGCCGTTATGCGCGAGTTACGAGGCTCATATTCACAAAGCAAAACACGGATGAATAGTGAGTGCGTCGGTAAGCACGTACACGCACAACAGCCTTCCTTACTTTAACTGGTTCGGGGGCGTGGGCTCGACAGCCCACAGTAAGCCAGCATCATTTCTTGCTTGCGTTCGGTCGGCTAATGAGATGGCTGAGGAGGCGACGGGGCAAGTTCCAGAAGCGCCACCTTCGTGGCAGGCCGGGTATACGTACCACCTGCTGCCGTCTTGAGCTGCACGGCGCGGACTCGGCCGTCAGGCCCCGGGAACACTTGCAGCACGCGCGCCAGCGGCCAGTGACCTCGGGGCGTGTCAGATTCTGCTAGCAGCACCACGTCGCCGACTGCTAGGTTCCGTTGGTCAGCTTGCCATTTTCTCCTGTGGATCAGGGTATGGAGGTACTCCCTTTTCCATCTTCGCCAGAGATGGTCCGTCAGTGCTTGAACGTACCTCCATCTTTTTTTGGAGTGCAGATCCTGGCTGCTGAAGACTCCAGGGGGAAGACAACGGCTTCCCCTCCCCAAGAGATAATGGTTCGGTGTGAGAGCTGTCAGGTCTCTCACATCGTCTGTGACGTGTGTCAGCGGTCTACTGTTGATCATGTTCTCTATTTCGCAGAAGGCAGTTGACAGCACCTCGTCTGTTGTCACCTCGCCGCCGAGCACGACCGATAGCGCTCTCTTGACTGCGCCGATCATTCTTTCCCATATGCCGCCCATGTGGCTCGCGGCTGGTGGGTTGAAACACCATTCGATCTGCTGCTGGCTCAGCTCGTCAGAGATCTTCTGCTGGTTCCACTGCGTCAGTGCCTCCCGGAGTTCACGTTCACCGCTTTTCAGGTTTGTTCCGTTGTCGGAGAAAACCTTCTTTGGACGACCTCGGCGTGCCACGAACCGTCGGAAAGCCATCAGGAAGCTGTCAGTATCCAGGCTGTTGGACACTTCCAGATGAATGGCTCGCGTGTCCAGACATGTCACCAGCAGGCCGTACCTCTTTTCCGTCTTTCGGAACCGCCTGACTGTGAGCGGTCCGAAATAGTCGATCCCCACGAAGCTGAACGGATGGGAGGTGTTAAACCGGTCAGCGGGAAGATCGGCCATTCTTGGAGGCTGAGGTCTCGCCCTTCTCTTGCGACAGATGGCGCAGTCGATAAGGACTCGTTTTACCTGCGAACGCCCCCTCGGAATCCAGAATTTCTGGCGAACTTCGTTCAGGGTGTGTTCTGCGCCGGCGTGCATGAGCTGACGGTGCGTTTCGTAGATGACCATCCTCGCCACATCAGAACCTGCTGGGAGTAGAATGGGATGGCGAGCGTCTTCGTCCAGTGGGGCATTTCCTAGTCGCCCCCCGACTCGTAAGATGCCATCAGCGTCCAGGATTGGTGACAGGTCGGCGATGCCGCTCTTCTTGTTGAGCTGCTGACCCGCCTGTAACTGCTGCAGCTCGGTCCTGTAGGCCTCCGCCTGCACCATCTGGAGGATGGTCTTCTCCGCGTCATGGAGCTCTGACACGGTCAGTGGGCCTAGGTTTCGCTGTCGCTTCTGCTCGCCTTTCAGCTTCGAGTTGCGGAGGAAGCGCAGGATCCAGGCCACCGTGCGCTTGTATTTTGTCCAAGACGAGAATTTGCTCGGTGTCGGCAGTGCTGCCTTTGGATCCCTCACCGTGACTGTGACGAAGGCTCCAACTTTCACTTCTACGTCTTCTTCAGCCAGCTTCTGAACGTGAAGCTGCTCTGGCCACCCTTCTTCGTCGCCTCGGAGGAAGTCTGGGCCGGATAGCCAGAGAGGGTTGTCGGCGAGCTCCTTCACTGTCTCACCCCTGGAGCACAGATCGGCTGGGTTGAGTCGTCCTGGGCAGTGCCGCCACTGACCCTTGTCTGACAGGTCGTGGATTTCTGCCACTCTGTTTGAGACGAATGTATGGAATCGTCTGCTCTCGTTGCTGATGTACTGCAGGACGACCCGGCTGTCGCTCCAGTAGGTGACCTTCTTGACTTGATCTGGTATCTCCTTTTGGAGCGCGTCCACCAAGCGCACTGCGAGCACTGCTGCCTGCAGCTCCAGTCTGACGATCGACAGTCTCTTCAGCGGTGCAACTCGTGTCTTGCTCATGATGAACGAGCAGTGATGCGTGCTGTCTGGTGAGGTCGTACGGAGATAAGCGACTGCTCCGAACGCTCCCTCTGATGCGTCGCAGAAGACATGAAGCTGACGTGCTATTGTGTCACTTGATGTTGGACGGAGGCAGCGTGGGACACTGATGTTTCTCAGTGCTGGCAGTTCTTGGAGCCATTCTTCCCATTCTTTCTGCTCCTCACGATCCAGCTCGTCGTCCCAGTCCAGTTGCTTGGTCCAGAGCTGCTGCATGAACATTTTGGCTCTGATGACGAAGGGCGCGGCGATCCCCAGAGGATCGAAGATCGACGCAGTCCTTTGGAGGACTCCCCACTTTGTCATCGGGACGCTTGAGTCTCGGAATCTGAAGCTCAGACTGTCCTTTTCAGCATCCCAGACCACTCCCAAGGCACCTTGTGTGGGCAGCTCCGCTTCTGTGAGGTCTAGTTCCGGCTGGGCGCGCTTCTCTCGGGGAATGCTCTCCAGGACGCGCCGCGAGTTGCTTACCCACTTGGATAGATGGAAGCCGCCTCGGGAGAGTGTCTCTGTCACCTGCTTCGTCGTCTTCAACGCATCATCTTCATGTTCTTCTGATCGTAAGAAGTCGTCCATGTAGAAACTGTTCTTCACAGTTTCCACGGCCTTCTTTGGCAGCCCGCAGTCTTCTCCATGGTCCGCGACTGTTCTTTGGAGGACGTAGTTGGCAGACGCTGGAGACGATTTGGCGCCGAAGATGGTCACCTGCATCTCGTAGATGTCTGGTTCTCTAGTTTGATCCAGGTCGCGCCACAGGAAGCTGAGCGCAGGTCGGTCCTTCTCGATGACACGGACCTGGTGGTACATTTCTTGGATGTCTGCTACCATGCCGACTTTTTCTTCTCGGAAACGGAGCAGGACGCCGGTGAGGTTCTTCAGCAGGTCTGGTCCGGTCAGGAGCTTGTCATTCAGCGATGTTCCGTACGATCTGGCTGCCGCATCGAAGACTATCCTGAAGCGGCCTGGCTTATTGGGATTAGTCACGGCATGGTGTGGTAGGAACCAGCGTCTGGGTAGCCGGAGCTGTGCCTCCTCCCTGGACAGCTTTCTGGCGTGGCCCTTTTTTACATATGCATCGATCGTGGCCTGGTAAGCTGCTGCTTTCTCTTGATCGTTTACCAGACGCCTCTCGGTGCCATGTAGTCTCTTTGTAGCCATCACCTTGCTGTCTGGAAACGGCGTGTCGTCATCAGTCTTCCAGAGGAGGCCAGTCTCGTAGCGGTTGCCGGTTAACTTGGTGGTTGTTGACTCTAGAAGCTCTTGCGCTCGACGGTCTTCTTTCGACTGTGACACTGACCTTTCATACTTGGCTCCGAAGGATTCAGTTGTCCACCAGTCCTTCAGCATGTTGTCCAGTTCCTCGTCAGCAGCGGAGCCTTTCTGGATGAACATCGCTCTTTTAGTTCGTCCATGTTTTCCAGGGTGCAGGTCGGACACAGCGCCAGTCAGGGTCCAACCAAAAGCAGTACGTACAGCTATCGGTTGGCCTGGTTGACCCACCCGGACCTCTTGCTGGATGACTGCTTCGCTGACGTTAGCTCCGAGCAACAGTTCCACCTGTCCATGGGAGCACTGAGGAATGTCCAAGTCCTTGATGTGACGCCACTTCTCCCGCTGCTTCTTGCAGACGTTCGGCATGGAGATGTCGAGAGATGGAACAGACCACGCCTCAGGCACGATGATTCTTCGAGTTTCCCCAGGGGCCACAGAGCTCAGCTCTAGCTTCACTCTAGTTGATGCTTGAGGTTTTCCAGTTCCTTCCACTGTCTGAAGACACAGCTGCTCGTCTTGTCCTGTGATTCCCAGTTGGTTCAGCACAGCTTCACTGCAGAAGGAAGATTCTGACCCTGAATCGAGAAGAGCATAGGTGTCGCGGTGAGTTCCTGCCTTCTTTCCATGAATTCGAACTGGAACGATTTGTAGAAGAGTTCCGCCCGTCTTTCCGATGGAGGTAGATGCAGCCACCACACGTACCTCTTCTCCTTCTGCCGCTGAAGTTGTTTCATTGGCAGGCCGACTGGCTACGGCTCCCGAGCGGTCGGTGAGGGGCGTGGTTCGTTTGGTGCTGCCATGTATCAGCTGATTATGGCGTCTCTGGCACCCATTTACACCACAGAGCTTGGTGTTGTGACATTCTCTGGCAAGATGTCCCCTTTGCAGACACCAGAGACACAGTCCCTTGTCGAATATTAGGTCGATTCTTCTTTCGACGTCCAGATTTTTGAACTCACGACACTGGTGCAGTCTGTGCTCACCACCGCACTTCGGACACGACGCATTCCCACCTGGTTTCTGTGCCGTTGATGGAGAGGCTGGTGACGAAGTTGCGGTAGCATGCGCTGCTCGCTTAGTCGTCTGGTCTCTGGTTCTCCCCCGTCTGTCACTCGGCATTTCAGCGGTTTGGCAGAGCGATGCAATTTGGACCTGCTTCAGCAGCCAAACGTCCAGGTCGATGAGTGATGGATGTCTGGGGTGGAGTTCGAGCACATGTTTACCCCATTCACGCCGTAGATATTCTGGCAGTTTGACCACCATTCTTCGAAGATTCTCTGTGCTGTACAGGTCCGCCTCATATCCTTGGGCCTGCATGAGCGTGACCGCGCAGTGCAGGGCGGAATGGAAGTACTCCAACGATCGAACACTGTTCTTCTGAGGAGGTTCAGCCGAGAACACTTTCTCGAGATGTACCTTTATCACGTCCGTGCTTCGGCCGAAACGATCTTGTAGAGTTTTGAGGGCTTGTTGGTAGAGGTTGCCGTCAAATAACATGCCAGCGATGGCTTCTTGCGCTTGTCCCATCACTGACGCTTGCAGATGAGCCATTCTTTCCGCGTCGCTGAGCGATGGCTGGTCGTGCACGAGCGCTCGGAACAGTCCGACCCAGCGCGGCCACTCAGACGGCTTGCCTGAGAAGGTCGGCAGCTGGAGACGGGGGATGCTCTTAGTGAACGCAGATGTCGTAGGAGCCGGACGTGGTGCAGCTGTCGGTCGCAGCTGATCTATCCATGACGTCTGGCTTGTGGACATACCGGGACTGGGCGCCATTCGTGGAGGTTCTAGTTGCGGAGGTTCTTCTCTGATTTCGGTTAGAGGTTCTAGAGGTTCTCTGGGCGTAATGGAGACTGGCTCGGAGAAACGAAGTTGTGATCTGGAGCAGTTCGGCCTTTGAGAAACGCTTTTCTCGGTGATTGGTTCTCCCAGATTTTCATCCATAAAATCGTCTCGCCTGTCTGCATTGAGCTCGTCTTCCATTTCTTCCCTCAGGTCCGCCTCCAGTCGGGCGGCTTCAGCTTCATCTCTGGCTTTCTGAAGGTCTCTCTCGAATTGCAGTTCTTCCTCTTGCTTCCTTAGTGTCCTTTCTCGCTCCAGCTGGCGCACGCGCAATTCCTTCAGTTTGGATGATATCCTGGCTTCAGCTGATGCATGAGAGGCCGCCGAGCTGCCACTGACCTGTGACCTTGCTCGGCGAGCGACGCTACGGGTCATGCGTGACACTGAGCGTCCCATGCCGTCTTCAGGTTGCCCTCCTCCATCCTCGCTGAAGTCAGTCTGTCTCGTAGAGGTCAGCTGTAGTTCGTCTGTGGTGCTTGTCATGAACGTCTCGATTTTCTCCTCGATTCTCTCTTTCTCCGTACGAACTTCGTTTAAGTACTGAGCCTCATTTTCCTTTTCTTCCTCACTCTGCGTGTATCCAGAGATACATTCGTGAACGGCCATCAACGCTTGGAAAGCGCTGTCCATTTCTCTGCGGATATTTCCAAACTGAACGCGTGAAGCTCTGTCTGTCACGAGAGCTTCAGCGCGCCGGAAAATCCTTGTGAGAGCCGCCCGATGACGACCTCTCACCTGTCTGAGGTGCCGCCACTCCCCGTTGGAGCATTGGCCTTCTCGTGGTTCTTCTCGGGCTGTAGTCACTGCAGCTTGTCCTTGACCTGCAGCGGCTGGTTCAGCTGGTACTTCTTCCATGTCAGCGGTTTCTTCTTTGTCACTTTCCCCCATTCGCTCTAGAGACGGGCTTGCTTCTCCACTTGCCATAGTTCAGGATCCGGCCCGGAGGACCAGCAAATGTCGCCGACAAACTGTCGTTCGGAGTTCTTTTCTGGTTGGATGTGGACTGTATTTTATTCGGTGAGTTTGTGCGACATTCGTAGCCCGCCCGCCTGCTATGTGAGCTCCTGGGTTTTTGATATTCGGCGATTTACAGTCGTAGATAGACGTGAAGATTTCCCGTAGAGGATTTATTGAAGTATACGCGAAGCAAGAAGCGGAAGCAGTTGTGAAGAAAACCGGTAGATGAGACACGCAGACACGGAGCACCATTCACTTTCGCTGTACAATCTGAAGCACTGACACTGCCCCGCCGGGCGCGGCTGCGCGCAGGAGAGTCGGTCTGCGCGCGTGCTTCTGTACTCTGTCCCCGCTCAGCCGGGCGAGGCGTCGAGCGGGGCAGATCAGTCCGTGCGCACAGCGCGACGGTCGAAGTGAGACTCTGCCGGGGTCGTACGTGACCCACATTTTATACGCAATGCTTAAGACGTGTGCAAAACGAGTGCGAACTTGCACTGCAGCGGGGAGGTGGCGGAAGGCGCCAGCTTGGCGGCCTACGTGCCTTAAAACGACGTGTCTTTAATTTATATCTCGGTCTCGGTGGCGGCCGCGGCGCTGCTGCGGCTCGGCAGCGTCGGCGGCACGCGTACCGACCGCCGGCCGCGTCTGCTCGCGGCCCCGCCCTGCACAATGCCTCACAACTCATCCTGAGTCTGGACGGGGTGACGGCGGTGCGGCGGCGGGACGGCTGCAGCGAGCGGCGGCGGCGCCGCGGTGTCACGGCGGCCGGCCGGCTATCACGGCGGCACAGCGGTAGCGCGGGTTGGTCCGAACACTTTCGTCGGTGACACCTGTATTCATTCATTTTGGGCTCCTATCGGTGTTGAAAGGCAGAATTTATTTCACTAGGGCGTCACAAACCTGCTACTCCCACCATAAACCTGATGACATTGAGCCAGGATGTCCGTTCCGAAGGGCTGACGTGATACTGATGACACCAATGAATGCAATAGTGCAGTGCAGCCCAGGCGGCATGCTGCTTACCGGCCTGCAATTCTCTGTCACCGAGTTAGTGTTATGGATTCGGCGCCTTATTCACTAGTCCACACGAAGGTATTGGAACCGTGGAACTCTTTTCGATATGCCTTATTCGGAGAATCTTATGATATGGTGATGAGGTTGTTTCTAAACGAACATTATGAAGGTTACATTTACGCTATGGAATGTACCTAACTATTTCTCGTTACATAAAAACTGTAATTCTGAACGTGTTAACAGGTACAACACATTGTCCTGTCTCTTCACTGTTTGTGTTACTACAACCGTGTATATGGTAAGGGGCGCCCAGCGGGAAGGGGCGCTTCAATATCGTTTGCACCCCTATCCTAAAATACCTTCCGCCGCCACTGTCACATATATTCCGTTTTTCCGAAACTCAACTTTTTGGATTTTTTGGCAAATATTTAAAAAAAATTGTTTTTTTATTTTTGGGGGTCAAAACTCCAAAATTTCAAAAATCCGAGATAGCATTTTCTAGCCCTGTCAATTCTACACCTTTTATGTTTGATCATTTTTCTGTACCTATCTTCAAAGCTGTAGGCCTGACAGGTCTTGTCGCGAAGGTATTTTTTCGGTCGAAAATGACAGAACATGACGTCATTCTGACGTCATTTGTGGCCAAACTATCATAGCCTCTGGGAAAAAAAAAATGGTCACAATGTGTAAAATTGATGCCCGGAGGGGTCCTGAAAGTTTGGTGGCGATATCTCTAGCCCTTTAGGAGATATCGACGGAAAAGGACAGGGGGGCCGTTTCGCCCCCCCCCCCCTACGGGGCGCGGGTTAATAAGACGTGGCTTACAGCCCACGAGTCGAATTAAACAGGAGCATAATCACTGATTTATCCATCAGATTCGCACATCATCACATATCAAAGCGCGTCGCATATCAATCGCATAAATCGCATTATCGTGTAGGCATTTATTTTTATACACAGGCAGACTTGTTTTATTAGTACGACGTTATGGGCGCAAAATGACCGTAGTAGTCGGCCCGTCCTAAAGCATCAAACACAAGCAGGTACCTTAGGCCCCGTCAAACTTTCTAAAGTTTTTGGAAGACCAGCTCCCCTGGTGTTTTCCCATTGCTTGTTGGCCCAATACCTAAAAGGTATGCAAAATTTCAGCTTCCTAGCTCAACGTTTGCATCTGCCTCAAAGGCCTCGAAGTTTGCCCCATAGGGCATAATGGAGACTGCAATGCCGGTGTTAGCTGCATTGTCCTGGCAGCGGCGTTCATTGGCACAATATCGCCACGAATCAACTGCTGCCCAAGCAAGAGATGAACCAAACTAGTCTTTGCCATGCCCCCCCCCCCCCACTCACACCCCTCCCCCTCCTTACCCCCCTGATTCCTGATTTTGTAATGCATCGTTTGATTTCCATGCATTGTTCACGATCACTTTATCTGTTTTTTTTTTTCAGGATGCCTAAATGCTGATTGAGACAAATATATTAGTACCTAGCTTAAACATGCATGTGTATATGTATATTAATTTCGACTTAATACTGCGGCGGCGGCGAACAGATAACTACGAACGACAACAGCAGCAGGAGACCAATTGACGGCGGACACGGCACTGGTGACGGTGACGGGTAGGTACCGGTGTCACCCACTATGGTCGAGTCTGCGTGTCCGGTGTCGTGGCTTACCTACAAGCACGAAGGTTCTCTTGCGCGGCTTTTTGGAAAACTCTGCAGTGCGGTCTAGGAGTGAACTCTGCAGTTTTCAAAAACTCGTCATTTCTTTCCATGCAACGACATAATATGAGGACGCCTTTAGGGCCCAAAGGGGCGCCCCAAATTTAAAGGTAGGTACAGGAAAATGGGCTTGACCTAAATGCCCGCGTATGCTGGATACGCCTCTGCTCTGGAGGCTGAGGGGCGCCATGTTTTTTTTCGTAATGGGGCGCCCAATCGCCTGTGATCTTTAATGGGGCGCCTGTTAAGCTTTGCAGATCAGCATCCGTGGTGTTGACTTGTGTGCCGAGTGCTCTGCCCCCTGGAAGGGGCGCCATCGTTCAGAGGGGCGCCGAATGTTCTTGAGAGGTGCCAGTAATATTGAATGGGGGCGCCGGATGTTCTGGAGGGGCGTCAGTGATATTGAATGGTGCGCCAGATGCTCTGAATGGGACGCCAGCGATAATGAATGGGGCGCCCACTCGCCCGTGAACTTCAATGGGGTGCCTGATACGTGAGACGTGTCGGTGGTGTTGAATGGCGTGCCAAGTGATCAAGAAGTCACTCGGCTTCTTGATCAAGTCACTTCTTGATCACTTGGCACGCCATTCAACACCACCGACACGTCTCACGTATCAGGCACCCCATTGAAGTTCACGGGCGAGTGGGCGCCCCATTCATTATCGCTGGCGTCCCATTCATCAGAGCATCTGGCGCACCATTTAATATCACTGACGCCCCTCCAGAACATCCGGCGCCCCCATTCAATATTACTGGCACCTCTCAAGAACATTCGGCGCCCCTCTGAACGATGGCGCCCCTTCCAGAGGGCAGAGCACTCGGCACACAAGTCAACACCACGGATGCTGATCTGCAAAGCGTAACAAGCGCCCCATTAAAGATCACAGGCGATTGGGCGCCCCATTAAGAAAAAAAAAACATGGCGCCCCTCAGCCTCCAGAGCAGAGGCGTATCCAGCATACGCGGGCATTCAGGTCAAGCCCATTGTCCTGTACCTTTAAATTTGGGGCGCCTCCTTTGGCCCTAAAGGCGTCCTCATATTATGTCGTTGCATGGAAAGAAATGACGAGTTTTTTTTTTTAAATTGCGGAGTTCACTCCTAGACCGCACTGCAGAGTTTTCCAAAAAGCCGCGCAAGAGAACCTTCGTGCTTGTAGGTAAGCCACGACACCGGACACGCAGACTCGACCATAGTGGGTGACACCGGTACCCGTCACCGTCACCAGTGCCGTGTCCGCCGTCAATTGGTCTCCTGCTGCTGTTGTCGTTCGTAATTATCTGTTTGCCGCCGCCGCAGTATTGAGTCGAAAGTAATATACATATGCACATGCATGTTAAAGCTAGGTACTAATATATTAGTCTCAATCAGCATTTAGGCATCCTGAAAAAAAAAAACAGATAAAGTGATCGTGAACAATGCATGGAAATCAAACGATGCATTACAAAATCAGGAATCAGGGGGGTAAGGAGGGGGAGGGGTGTGAGTGGGGGGGGGGCATGGCAAAGACTAGTTTGGTTCATCTCTTGCTTGGGCAGCAGTTGATTCGTGGCGATATTGTGCCAATGAACGCCGCTGCCAGGACAATGCAGCTAACACCGGCATTGCAGTCTCCATTATGCCCTATGGGGCAAACTTCGAGGCCTTTGAGGCAGACGCAAACGTTGAGCTAGGAAGCTGAAATTTTGCATACTTCTTATTGGGCCAACAAGCAATGGGAAAACACCAGGGGAGCTGGTCTTCCAAAAACTTTATAAAATTTGACGGGGCCTAAGGTACCTAGATAAGTACCTACCTACTAACCGTACCTGCTGGTAATAAGAGTAAGACACTTATTTTCTCGCACTAAATCCCGTTCAAACTGTAAAGCACCTAAGTGCTCTCCTTTTGGCTTTTACGAGTAATTACCACGTTCCCCCGTTTCCCGCTCAGCCCAGACGGCGCTGGCTGCAGGCCGTGGCTGGAATAACGAGCGGCGCCGCGGCCCGTGTCCGGCTGTGACGCGGTGACATGGGGCCGGTGATTAGTCTGTCCGGTGGCCTGCCAACCGGGAGCTCGCACCGTTGGCAGGTGTCGGTGCGTCGTGCAGAGCGGGAGGGGTGCTCGCTCACTGTCCGGCCCACTGGCGCCGGAACCTGGCGACGGGGACAGGCACGGACCCTTCCACCGCACCGGCCCGGCAAGGGCCGCCGCCGGCACTTCCACTGAGCCTATTATATAGGTACGAGTAGGTAGATAAGTATACTGACTTTAAAAATTGTTAAACCTATCTAACAACGAGCCGTAAGTACCGAATAACTAAAAAACTAAAAGAATCGATAGGTGATCAGCGGACAATTTGACACGAGGCAAGACGTCTCAAAAGGCACTCTGCGCCCATCCCAGGGCAGGGATAAACGCTTTATGGTAAATACCAATGACACATCAGTTTTTTCACCCATTATTTTGTCATATCCCGCTCCTTATCGCTCACAGCCCCTGACCTTTCATGTAGGAACGGCAGCAGAGGCCTGGAGACGATGAGGACACTCTGCGGATATTCACATTCCTCAGGATACGATATGCACGGGCACCAACGCCAGACCCTGCCTTTAGGTGTGACCGAAGGCAGGCATTTCTAAAAAGTAGATTGTGTCATCGGGCGCCGGTATGGAGAAGCGGTGTTTTGCGCCGTGAGCTGCAGCTGCCGGCGGTGGGTGCGCGGGGCGCCGCCGGCGCTGGGGCTGGCCGCCGGCGCCGGCGCCTCTGGCAGAGGTATTTCGGTCGGCCTGCTCCGGTGACGGTGCTCGGTGCCGGTGGCCGCCAGTGGTGCGTCTGAGGTCGTCGCCGCCCAGCCGCTACTCCGCTCCTGCGCCGACAGCCGACCGGCCGCCACACCCCACAGGTCAGAGCAACAGGGGGCGAACAGTGCAGGTCAGAGGCAACAGGGGGCGACCAGCCCACAGGTCAGAGTAACAGGGGGCGACCAGTGCAGGTCAGAGGCAGCCGCAGGGAGCAGTGCAGGTCAGAGGCAACCGCAGGGAGCAGTGCAGGTCAGAGGCAACCGCAGGGAGCAGTGCAGGTCAGAGGCAACCGCAGGGAGCAGTACAGACTACAGGTCAGAGTCAACAGGAGGAGAGGGGAGCAGCTCAGGTCAGAGGCAACCGCAGGGAGCAGCTCAGGTCCGAACAACAGGAGGCGAGCCGGAGCAGAACAGGTCAGAGGCAAAGGGAGGTGAGGGAAGCAGCACAGGTCAGAGAGCCAGGAGCGGAAGGGGGCGGCACAGGTCAGAGGGACATCACACTGGGCACCAGAAGGCCTCCAGTCGAGCACCACAAGAGCCGCAACAGGTCAGAGGTCACAAGGGAGCACCGACAGGTCAGAGTATTATACCTAATAACGAAATGCTGTGCGAATTATGTGGGGTTACAACCTTTATCTGTATATCTGCCACAACACCTGTATGTCTGAAAATTCGTCATTCGCGGACTGGCGGACGGACGGACAGCTAACGGACTGACGGACGGACAGACTGGTTGACGGAGTAGCAGACTGGCAGACGGACAGCTGACGGACTGACGGACGGACGGCTGACGGACGGACAGCTGACGGACTGACGGACGGACGGCTGACGGACTGACGGACGGACGGCTGACGGACTGACGGTCGGACGGCTGACGGACTGACGGACTGACGGACTGACGGACGGACGGAGTCACGGACAGCTGACGGACTGACGGACGGACGGCTGACGGACTGACGGACGGACGGCTGACGGACGGACAGCTGACGGACTGACGGACGGACGGCTGACGGACGGACAGCTGACGGACTGACGGACGGACGGCTGACGGACTGACGGACGGACAGCTGACGGACTGACGGACGGACTGACGGACTGACGGACGGACGGCTGACGGACACACAGGCAGATGATGGCTCATGCCTTCGTGATACACAACGGACATGCCTCATGTATTGCAGCCGGAACGATCGCAAGACTGTGAATGAAAGCGGCGTGGCGAATGTGATCGCTAACAATGTGGAAGCTGCCGAAGCTGCCGTGTCGAATACACCAGAATCTGTTGAACAGATCGCGTATTCACTGGAGACGGAATTTTTGCTGCAAAGAGAAAAGAGGTTTTTGTTGCAGCGGCAGGCGTTATCAGATACCAGGAGTTCCTTTCTTATTGAACTGTGGAGTGTGGAGAAAGTTGTTAGATACGGCAGCTTCATAATAGACGGATACTCTTTTAAGTGTTATTGCACGCAACGGAAATATAATGGACGAAGCAGGTCCCAGATGGAAAAAAGGTTGTGCTGGAAGACGACGCTTCCACCGGCTTACCTACCATCACAGGATATAAAACGGACGCCATTTAATTGCGTCCCAGAAAAGCTATTTCTGGCACCTAAAAGCTGACTCGCCCCAAAATTGGTCCTCAGCACCTATTTGGTGGATACCAGCACCAATCATGGAAAATGACCTTAATTAGCTGTTTCTGGCACCTATTCATCGGTACGCCTTACTCTTTTTTCTGAATCTGGCACCTAAATGCTGAGCGTAGCACCAATTTAGTAGAAAAATGAACTACTGGCTGGTAGAATCATGTTGTTCTGGTATAATGACCCATGGAGTCTAGCCTAAAGGTTGCCAGTGCAGCTACACTCTAAGACAGCCCCGTAGTGATCTCAGCATTGTATATGACGTTTAAGTAAGCAAATAATATTGATTTGTTTGAAAAAAAACAATGTCATTTAAATATTTAAAAGTATTTATTTGTAGTGCTTAAAGGGAAACATTTTTGTGAGTAATTGTCTCGATTTTGACCATTAAAACGGGTATTGTATTTTTTGACGTCATCAAATAGCTCCAAAAAAGAAATGTAATGTTTTCATTCCGTTCAAGGCCGCTGAAGAAACGCGGGATCTTGCGTGGGACATTGTCCGTTGTTTGCCGCGCAGAGTTGTGCCGTGGTTGTGCCTTTTTCATCCGTTTCTTACTTATGTGTGCATGAAGCTTTGATTTTGTTTTTGGTTATTGTGTGACTGGTCAGTCAAACGCCCCTGTAGAAACCGGATGCTGCGTTTGATCGAGATGGAGTCAGACGATGATTGCAGGAAGCTAATAATATTGAAAAGAGGGCCGGTTGCGTGGCATGTCTGTTCAGAGTTGACATTTTGCTCTACTCCAGTTTATGACCTGAGAGCCTGGCTGGAAGTGACGGATCCAAACTTTTCACGTTAAAATGGCTGAGGGTGCAATAATCTCTACATAGCGGGCTGGTATAGGAGCGTCTTACTATGCTGCACCATAGCTGGCTAGTGATTCTCTTTTGGCTAGAAATGGCATTAATCATTATCTCCACTGGCGAAAATAGCACTTGACATCACCGAATGCAACGTTCATGTTTGTTAGGATGCATAAAATCAGGAAGATTACGCGAATTAGGTAGGCAAACGTGGAATAAAATAGGTGCTGGATGTTTTGGTTTTGGTGCTGAATCAGCAAACAGCAAATACGGAGTTCAACTAGACGATCTGGCAACTTTAGGCTGTGTGGAAGCAATTAGGTGCCAGATTCAGATATTAGGGTCGAATAAGCATTTTGGGGCTGATCAGCAATTAGGTGCCAGAAACAGCTTTTTAGGGACCAGAAACAAATATTCCCCATATAAAACAACATTGCTCTGCTGATAAATGTCCTGAGTATACCAATACTCAGTGTCCAGAAGAGGCCCTGTAAGACTGAAGGAGACTGGCGACCCTCCAGGAGCAACTGCTGAAGGACTCACTATCTCCGGCGGGTAGGGGAAGCGGGGGGAACACCGCCACTGTGGGAAACACCGCCACCCCATCTGGCGGCGAAAATATGCAATGTGAAGTGTAAAAGTCCGTTATTTCCTATTAACCGCACGAAGGTAAGCGTCTTCTGATTTGTGTCCCGGTGATTCAGTGTAATTGAAGCTTAATGTGGGCATTTAACCCTCGCATGTGTAGGGGGGGTCGGATGGACCCCCCCCCCCCATGGCTTTTCGCGAATAACTCGCGTAAAAAGCGGCCGATCGCGACGAAACTTTCAGTACCCTCGTATTGATCAATTTTACACCTACCCTGAAAATTTCATGACCCTGACCCAAATGACCTTTGACCTGTGACCTCTTTTCCGAGACCATGTTTGGCCGGAATCGCGATTTCGCGTATGTCGGCTCGCACTAGCCGCGTGTTTGCAAGCTTTTCGTGGTTTCAAACGTTCAAACATGTGATTTGATGTTACTCCAGTGTGTGTCAAGGTCACCTAAAGGTCAGGTCAGGTCATTGACCTTTGGTGACCTCGGGTGACCTCGGTTCACTTTTTCGAGTTTTACATGTTTCTAGGCTAGTTTTTGGAGCTGAATTCGAATTTAGCAACCATTTGAACATTTACGAAGTAGTTTTGGTGACTTCGTAACATGTTACGAAGCTGTCAGAGGCGGTTGACACGTACTACGAATACCCGTCACGACGCCTACTGGTTGACCTGACCTGACCTGACCCGACCTGGTCTAAATGCTTCAAGACATCATCTGTGATCAAAACTAACACGATATTCGTGATCAGCACCCCGAAAAACCCCTTAGCAGCCACACTTTACGACTTTCTAACAGGTCCCGATTTTCCCGACTTTGGGTCATTGACCTGACCTGGCAGTGGCGCAGCCAGGGTGGGTCAGAGGGTCAGCTGACCCCCCCGAAATTTCTGTCAGGGGCCGCTCGAGAGAGAGAGAGAGTGAGAGAGAGAGAGAGAGAGAGAGAGAGAGAGAGAGAGAGAGAGAGAGAGAGAGAGAGAGGAGAGAGAGAGGTCCTAATCTAATCGGACGAGCCCGCTTCGAGAAATGCCCACTGCGACACCTCGGGTGACGGGTCGGCCTGGGGCCCCAGGTGGACAGGGCCCGGGCCCCCAGGAGAACGGGCCCGGCCCCCTGGGTGGATGGGACCCGGGCCCCCTGTAGATGGGTCCGGGCCCCCGGGTGGATAGGGCCCGGGCCCCCCGGCGGATGGGGCCCCGGTGGATGGATCCGAGCCACCGGGAGAACGGGCCCCGGGTGGACGGGGCCCGGACCCCCGGGTCCCGCGAGAACGGGTCCAGGCCCCTCGGGTGGATGGGGCCCGAGGCTCCGGGAGAGCGGGCCCGGGCCCCCTGGGTGGAGGGGGCCCGGGCCCCCGGCTGGATGGGGCCCGGGCCCCCGGGAGAACGGCCCTGAGCCCCGGGTGGACGGGGCCGGACCCGCGGTTGGATGGGGCCCGGGCCCCGAGAGAACGGGCCCGGGCCCCCTGGGTGGATAGGGCACGGGCCCCTGGGTGGATAGGGCACAGGCCCCCGGGTGGATGGGGCCCGGGCGCCGGGAGAACGGACCCGGGCCCCTTAGGTGGATGGGGCACGGCCCCCCGGGTAGATGGGGCCAGGGCCCCCGATGGATGGGTCCGGGCCCCCGGGAGTACGGACCCCAGGCCCCGGGTGGACGGGGCCCGGGCCCCCGGCTGGATGGGGCCCGGGCCCCCTGGTGGGCGGGCCCCGGAGCCCCGGGTGGACGAGGCCCGGAGCCCAGGTGAACGTGGCCCGGGCCCCCGTATGGATAGGGCTTGGTCCCCCATGTGGATAGGGCCCGAGCCCCCGGGTGAATGGGGCCCGCTAGGGTGACCCGCTTGCTTCGCAACGCGAATAAGGGGTATTTTCGATCGGTGGGCGTTTGGTTGGTCTTGTGTCTGTGGGTTATGTATCCATTACGGTCGATTGCCTTTTGACGGCTAAGCATTTTGGTTTTGGGAAAAAATATCCATCGCATCGAGGTGCTCGTGTCTGATAATAACCATGCGTTCTACTATAGAACATGCCAAGTGTATTTCATGACATAGGTTGGCGTAG